TTTCTTCCAACATACTAGAAGAAATATGATTTCTTAGACTTAATACGTTTAATTAGAGGCTTAAAAATATGCGTAATTGCATTTGTGTAATTAATTGTCCACTGATATATATTATGTGCAGAGGTGGGCCCATGGCAACCTCATGAAGTTCAGTAAGACCAAGTGCAAGGTCCTGCACCTGAATCGGGACAATCCCAAGAACAATTACAGGTTGCGTGGAGAATGGATTGAGAACAGCCCTGAGGGGAAGGAATTGGGAGTGCTGGTTGATGAGAAGCTCAGCATGAGCAAGCAAAATGCCCTTGCAGCCCAGAAAGCCACCCATGTCCTGGGCTGCATCCAAAGAAGCATGGCCAGCAGGTCAAGGGAGATGATTCTCCCCCTCTACTCCCCTCTCATGAGACCCTACCTGGAGAAGTGTGTCGAGCTCTGGAGCCCTCAGCACAAGAAGGACATGGAGCTGTTGGAGTGAGTCCAGAGAAGGGCCACAGAGATGATCAGAGGGCTGGAGCACCTCTGCTATGAAGACAGGCTGAGGGAGTTGGGGCTATTCATCCTGGAGAAGAGAAGGCTCTCAGGAGACCTTATAGTGTCCTTCCAGTACCTGAAAGGGCTCCAGGAAAGCTGGGGAGGGACTTTTTACAGGGGCTTGTAGCAAGAGGACAAGGGGGAATGGCTTTACACTGGAAGAGGGAAGATTAAGGTTAGACACGAGGAAGATACTCTTTTCTGTGAGGGTGGTGAGGCACTGGCACAAGTTGCCCAGGAAAGCTGTGAAAGCCCCATCCCTGGAAATGTTCAAGGCCAGGTTGGATGAGGCTCTGAGCAACCTGGTGTAGTGGGAGACATCCCTGCCCATGCAGAGGCATTGGAACTAGATCATCTTTAAGGTCCATTCCAACCCAAAACACTATATAATTCTCTGATACATGGACTTTTCTACCTTAGATTGTATAATCCTTGTTATTTAACATTTGAAGTGTTAAACAGAAAAACCCTCAGGATTACTGATATTTTTTATCAGACATCCATTCCCTCAGCCAGCTCTGTAAATTGAAACTAATCTGGTGAAGTCCTGAAAAGTTTGGCATGGTGTCAGGATAAGGAAGTTTTAACACATGATATGAAAATAAGGCAGATATTGTTCACCAGTCACCCACACAAGCCTAGGGGGAGTCTCCCACTGTTTCGATTTTCTTTTTTAATGGTTCTCTCTTCACTGGGAGGGAATGAAGCCTTTCCCTGCATAACAAGAGCCATCTGCAAGAAGAGAGGCTTAAGAAGTTCAATACTTTTTATAATTCTGTGAAGAGCTACATGCAGCAATACTTTATGCCTCCTGCAATCCTTTGATGACTGAATTAGCTAACTGAGATTGAAATGAGGAGTGATTTATAATGGCCTGTAATGAGAAATGAGTTCAACTGCCTTTCAAACAATTGACAGGGAATAGATTAGTTTTAGCAATGTAGCGATTTAAAAGAATGAAGAAGGGAAAGTATTCGCCTTTGATCTCAGCGACAGCAGTTTCTTTAGACATAATCTGATCCCAACAAATATGCAGCAAAGGGTTCATAAAATGGTGCTTTTATTACCCCTTCACAAACCCAGAGCTAGCGCAAACTAAGTTCCTGATGTTTGTCTTAGATGTCTCAATTCCCACTGCTACACAACACGTGTACTAGGAAACCTGCTTATGTTTCCAGCAAATAATGACAAATTATTGTGAACTTGGGTTTGTAATACAGGAATTAAAAGTACATCTGGAATGGGAATTGCTGTAGATCAGAGATACTTTCTTAATGAATACTCTAAACCCAAGTATTTACCGTGCTGGTTTACACAAGCTCAACATCTTGTGCTTGCTTTGTACCCCAACCTGGCAAAGCTGGAAGCACACACCCAGCTTTCTCATTGCGAGTCATCTCACTGAAGTTAAACTACTCCCAGAAATAAGGTCAACCAAACCTCCACTTGAACATATTTGGTAAGGGAGGTGATGGGCCAGACCCACAGAGCAGGCAGATGTGGCTGAGCTGAGCCCTGGGAAAGGGGGACCAGAGCAAACCAGGGATGGCACAGCATGGGTATTCAAAGGATGCTCCTCCATTTCACCTCCTGAAATGGCAGTCCTGCTGATGCTTCTGCCTACTTCCAGGTCCCTGACCATGGTTGGATGAAGTACCTGGAGAACTGGTGACTTAACTTGCCTCTCCATGGCTATGCCCTGCTTGTATACCATCTGGCTCGCTTTCTGCATGTGAAGTGGATGTAAAAACTTGCCCTTCAGTTTTGGCAGGGTTTGACAAGTGCAGGCAGATCAGGGTAAAGGAAAATCAGAGTAGTGACTTCCATGATTCAAGGCAGCCTGCTACAAATCCAATGTGGCTGCTCACATCACCTGGGTAAGCAGCAAACTTCAGGTATGTACCATGAAAAAACCCACTTTTTATTACTAGCAGTTCACTTAAATTTCACACCAAAAAAATACCAGTGACTGTCCACTAATGGCAAATCATCTTTCCCTGTCTCTGGCTCAGGGTTTTTTTTTTCTCCCCACACCTGCTGCCAGGGGTAGGGTGTGGGGTAAGTCAGGGATGCTTTCACAGCAGTATGCAGGGCAGTCACTCATACAAGCCTCAGCACAGCTTACAGGATCACAGTCTCTGACTTCACCCGTGATCACTGACAGAAAGACCTGTCTTACACAAGTGAGGAGTGAGCACTGATCAGACACTAACTACTGACAGGCTGCAAAAACACTGACAGTGCATTTAGCAGCAGTGCCCCAAATCTGGGCAAATGAGTTTACACTCTCCAATTATTTTCTCCCATTACACTGCCTCATTCTGCTATATATATTAGTTGGCTGTTTTGGTTTGCTATTTAGCAGATGGCTCTCTTTTAAGCTAAAGCTCATTCTCCTTAACTATGTGCTTCCATAGCTTCTGCTGTACCAAAAAGTTAAACAGATTTCATTATGCATTTCCTGCAGAGACCTAATTTCTACAAAAGGCCTTGAGTAGGACAAGATGATTGGCAAAAAAGAGAGTAAAATTACAAGAAGCTCTTTTCACACTTAGCCAAATACCAAAAAGCACCAAGACCTTCTGAAATGGTGCTCCCTGTGGGTCTCAGCAGCTGAGTAGAACATTCAGATTCTTCTGGTTTTGATTCTCCCATATGCCCATTCCAGCACAGCATCCTCAAATGGCATCCCCCTAACATGTCAACACATTAAGCAACTCAGGCTAAAAGAAGGTACAAGTCAAACTTTGTCTCTGTATTTCCTGAATTCTAATACACTGCTCTATTATGCCTAATATACTGCTCTATAAGGCAAGGCAGCCCCAGATGTATTTCTGACAAGACAGCAGCAAGCAGGCCAGAAAAAGAGGCAATCTCACTCTCCACAACTGAAGTCTCCTGGCAGCCCTGGTTCACTCCTTGTAGAGGAGAAACATTACTGCTACATGGTACATTAACAGGCACAGGGGATCTGGCTCAGCACAGCTGAGTAGCTTGGGGCAACAAGATACCCGTAAACAGCCCCAGTCCCTTTTGGGAACTCAGTCCTCTCAGTGGTCCCAGAGCTCACATGATCCACTGGACTGTAGCAAAAAGAGAAGGCAACTGTGGTGTTAAGACTCTGCTGGAAGAGAAGACTGTGACAAAACCAGCCCAAATTCCAGCCTCTGCCTTTTACTTATCCACCATTTACCACACACCAAGGGTAACAGCAATTCTGTTCAACTCTCACTTCTGCCTGAGGAGCTCAAACCTGCCCCAGTGGCAGTGCTTGATTCACCCAGCTTAAGTTCTTCTGGTGAAGGAGAACCTAAGATGGTTTACTTTAAAGATAAGGAAAAAAGAATCGTTGTGCCAGTGCAGACAAGAGCAAGCAGGAAGCTTTTGAGGAGGACTTGCAGAATTTCTGGAGGGCTTGAGCATCCTCCTTCCAGAAAGGTGTTCAAGCCACATACTCTAAGCTGAGAGCCATCAGCTAATGTCCTTGCAAGCTGGTATTGCCTGGCATTTGGACAGCATTTTAGATAGTCCAGTGTCAAGAAATGTGGTGGTATATACAACAACAATGTTCAGCATTTATCAGCATTTGGCTTGCTTACTCAGTGTTTTAGCTATTTTTTCAAAGAAAAAAGATGAAGAGATTAAGTGACATTCAAATCAGCATTCAGATCTTGAAGAGCAAGCTCTCCACCAGGATCTTACAAATTCAGGGGCAACAGTTAATTGTTATTTAAACTACACACCAATTTGACTAGGGCAACAGAGTAGCAGAATGCATGAAAGACTCTTAAAAGTTGCTATGAACTAATACAAAACTGAAATAAAAACTGCAGCTTATTGAGAACAGCATTCTGTACCATCCACCCACAGAATAAATCAGCAATGTAACACAATGTCCTTGGGGCAGTCTTGTTAGCAGAAGCTCTTGGAGCCTGTTAGCCCAAGAGCAGACAAATTGAACGTGTAGGTGGACATTAAATCCAGCCCAAAATAAGCAAGCAGCTCTGGGTGTCAGCAGATCTATAACTTAAGGTTGTATTCCAGTTCATTCTCTAAGGCTAAAGTTATTATTACTGTACCTATAGGATGTAAGACTTTCACGCAGAAAGTAGTCAGTCCTTCAAATATCAATTTCCCTCCCACCTGACAAAGGCACTACTGTAGTAATGTGTTAGATTTCTGATTTTATGGAGGAAGTCAGCAATTTCACACTCAAACACCACCATCTTCAATTTTTTCCCCAATTAGCTGCTGTTGCAGAAAGCTCAGCCACTTCACATTTCAGATTTCTTAAAGGAATCAGCTATTTACTGAAAAAAAAACACCACAAAAGAACAAGAGACCTCTGTTTCTACTGATGTCTGTATTTTAAAACATGGAGTAAGATTTAGTCAGGCTTCATAATACAAAATGTCTTCCAGGATCCTGAGTGAAGCTGCAATAAGTTTTGTTGTTTGCTTTTGTTAAGAAACTTCTTTAGTTTCTAGAAGTTTCCAGACAGATGGTTTCCTTGAAATATTATCCTTCTGGGGCTCAGCAAGATCTTGATGACCATTTCCAGTGCAAGTGCACTGTATTGAACTTGATGCCACCATAGGCATTAGTCGTCCTCTGAGTCACTCTCCCCCCTGGCTGGGACACCAGCCCTGATTGAGGACATGAGCTGGTCCTGAATCTGCTTCCTGGGATTTTCCTCAAGGTCTGTCTTGATGGCACCGGACTCTGAAATCTTCCACTCCAATTCTGTGCGGAGGAAAACAAGAGCCATGAATGTGGGGGAGCAACCTGGGCTTTCTCCAGCCCTGCCTCCTTCTGACAAATGCTAGTTTATTTATTTCAGTACTACAGCACCATGCACTTCCTAGCTTACTTTCAGAAATAATAGTAAAAAAAAACAACAAAAAGAAACACCTCAGATTGCCACAATTCCCCACTGCCCTTCCTATCCTCAGTTCCCCAGCTGACTTCTGTTATCACACTGCCTTCACCACCACCAAAACCAGGGCCCTGCACCTAATGCCTGTCCCTCCTCTTCCACCCCCAGGTCCCAGCCCCTCCCCTGCCAGTGAAGGAATACTATTCATATATTACAGCTACTTCCATCATATCCTGAGTTCATAATAACCAGAAGAGGCAGGGAACAGATTTGCTGGGGGGCAAAAACTGTAGCAATTCCATTTATACGTCTGAATCACAGGTATTTTCCAGGGATGTACTTTATAAGCGCAATTCACCCCTTTCCCACTATGCCATGCACTGATTATTAGTTCCTTAGCAAGACAGTAAATGAGACTCCAACACCAGTACTAGGCCTATTACTATATATTGGATTGCTTCCCAGCAGTGGAAAAAGCTCAATACAACACATTCAGCTGAAACCTTCCTCCTAGTCCTGCTGGCAACCCTATTGTTAAATCCAATTTCCTTCAGACATTACAGAGTATTGAATACAACCTCACACTTTCTTTAACCTCCAGTGGAAGTCACCTAGGCTTAGGGGAGAAGGAAGGAAGAAATAATAATAATAATAAAAAAAAAGAAGAATTGCAGTGCCCAGCTTCCTGTGATGACTGAATTAAGCTGAATTCTTCAGACCTCCCCCAAATTACCTGTTTATGTCCTGAAAATGAGAAAAAGCTAAACTGTAAATTCTGCCTCCACTGCTCATTTCAGTGCATAATTAAGCAAATGTTGTAGCTAGAGTTGGCTGCTCTCAAATCAGCTATCAGCTGCAGGGTCTATCAATCAGCCAGCGGCACAGTCAGTCATTCAGGTACAAGACCCCAAAGAATGTGCACGGGTATTATTTTGCCTTTTAATATATTCAGGTAAATTTGCTTCACCCAACACAGGGTGTGAATACTTACATCTAGATATTATGTGTATGCATAAGCAGCGAGTGGCTAAGGAGGCCAACAAGGCAGCCTAAATCACATGTTGCTAAGCCATACAGGTACCAAAAAAAAAAATAATTAAAAAAATCAAATACAATTTTTAGTACTTCCTTTCTCCTCCTAAGCCTCATTTCTCCCATTCCCAGCAAAGCAATTTTGCTTTTACTTTGGATGACTGGAAACGCAGACACTCACCATCCCTTGTCAGGTTCATGCCACCGAACACCAAAGGCCCAATGAACTGAGCTTTGATGTCTCCCTCCAGGTAGACAAATATTGTAGGCAGGTTCTTATCAGGGTAGTTGGGAATGCAGGTGGTAGAGATAGCTTTGATGAATTTCACATCTCTGAACTTCTTTGCAAGCCCACTCATATGTTGATTTATTAAGGCACAGAGTGGAATTCTGTGAATAACAGACATAAGGAGAAAATGCTAAAAAAGTTAGAAAGTAATCTATTCCAGAAAAATAAGTCAGAAATATCAGCTCAATGAGTAGCATTTATGAAGAGACATACATATATCAAAAGCAACTTCTCAATACTTTTGTTGTCCAGTATGCCAGTGTTCAAAGAAAAATCAGTATCACTGGAGGTTTTGGTGGGTTTTTTGTTTTAAGATACTAGCAATACAACCTTCCACCTATCATATAGTTTATGAAGATCTGATATTTATAAATTGTATGAACAAGGCCAAAATGTAAAGAAAAGTAGTTCCTGGAAGAAAGCATACAAATGACAACAACCACCTGCAAGACAATTAAAAACAATAAATAAAATCAATGATCTCTAACCTTACCCAGAAAATTCTAGCAACTTAACAGACCTTTTTGTCAAATTTTTCATCATCCTGACAAAACTGGACACCTTGTTTACTCCATTTTTAGGGTCTAGGACAACTCTCCACCATGACATCTGTGTCAGGACAACATCACAGCACAGCTCTGTGTAATCTAATCCACAGAGATGTCCTGGCACAGAGACATCCCTTTCTGCCATTTTATGCATCTAGTAACCAGACATACAGACAAACACTGATGCTATAATCCACAGTCCCTCTCACTTTATACAGAATAACTTCCTAGGCTCAGTATTTCAGTGGCAGCAGATACCTCTATGGTAGCTCTGTGTAGCTGAACTAGTCACACTGGACCATACAGACTTATTTAAAAAACCACTTCACGGTAGCGTCGTTTCAGAGCCAAGTTCAGCAGTCTTGAGTCAACAGTAAGGAAATTACTAATTCAATAATTTTTTCCCTTAAAACTCTAGAGTCAGGTCCTAGTTTGCACAATAATTATACATTTGTCTAGAGTATTTTCAGCTATCGACAGCGAAAGGTTAGAAGTTTAAAAAAAATTCCTACCCTTGTTTGTAGAGGTGCAGGACTACCCATATGTCTTTTCCAGCTTTTGTAACCTCTTGTACATAATCTTTTCCCGAAATCTCCAAAACTTCACCAAATTTATTCTTCATTTGAGCTGCTTTCATTTCTGCTAACCTCTGCTGTCTGAATAGAAGAGAATGGGAAAGAAATGTTAAGAACAGATGCATTTCTGACAGAAAACCACTTAAAAGTAGCTGGCTGAAACCTAGACTTCAGAGGGGCATTACAAGCATCTTCAAAGCCCAGAGCAACAAAAGGAAGTTGACCATCTACAGATACTCTTGTATTTGCATCACAAGTTAAAGCCATCAACATGCAACAAGTACAACTACATTTCATAAATTATTTTTGGTCATGTCTGCCCTCAGCAGATATTTCTTCTACAGAAACTACACTAGCAAACTAAATGGCAAAAATCATGAAAGATGATACAGATATAATGGGAAATCAACACTGCACTCATGTAAATAAAAGCCAAGTTCTGTGTGCTGCTCTGACCTGTACATTTCAATAGCTTTCTCATCTTCCTCATTAAACTCATCTTCATTCTCTTCTAGCTCTTCCAGAGTCATGTCCTCATAAGTTTTCACTAGAATGGAAGAAATATCAAATCAGCAAATGTTCCAGGATTAAAGCCTTTATCAGTACAACAGAAATTATTTACTTTCAGGACGGGTTAACTATAGGAAACACAGCTTCTTCTGAAGTACTATTGTTATTGGATATTTAGAAAATATTATGCACTTTAGATATATAGGAAGACAACAGTGTAAAGAACTCTGAGCTGAAGGCTGTCTAGACTAACACAGAAGTACCTCCTCAACCAGCTTTCAAGTTTGGTGGCCACAGTAAAGATGTACCTAACACATGCACAACAGAGCAGGGACACCCGAACAACAACAGGAGGAGGAAGCATTTAAGAGGTGTAAAGGTCATGAGATACTTTTACTTACACATTCACACTGCAGACTCCCTTCACGTTGTTCTCAGTTCAGGTTTTAAACATTTACTTCCATAAAATTATGGAGCTGACATTAAGAACAAAGCTTTCTTTTGCTGAAAGAATCCACGTGCTCAGGAATGCATTTGTCTGATACCACTACCAGACAGTAACCCTATACAAGAAGCAGCTTTGGTATCCCTTGAAGACTTAGAAAAAGACACGTTACTTTACCAGCATCTAAACGTTACTGCTGGCCATTTCTTTGTACAAGGTTCCCCCAGGTCCTGCCACTGCTACCTGAGCTGGCCTGGCCACTCACCGAGAGACTTCTGAAGGATGGCAAGCTGCTCCTCTTCCTTGGCACGCTCCAGTTCCTCCAGGTTTTCCTTTGGAGGAAGGATACCTTTCTTGCGCAGGACGTCATTCCACTCTGTGTCTTCATTTGGGTCCTGGAACAGAAAAAGAAATTGATGACATGCACTCAAGGGAAACTCTGACACTTCCAGAGTTTGATACAGGCAAGCTTTCCAAGAGACACAGGACGCTGCTAAAGTGGTAACCATTGTCTGGATGCTCTCAGAAAGCCACAGGGTGCATCCCCCTGATGCTGAGGCTTCTTTGTGACCTTAGACCAGCACCCTTAACATTTACTTTCTTTGACTCCATCCTACTCACGTCACGTACAGGAGGTCTTGGTAGGGTCATAACCATTGCTGCAACTCTCACAAGGTGAAGTGAAAGGGGAGAAAAGCACCTGGGTGACAAGGAGACAGGCTGGCCCCAGCGCTCACGTCGGGAGCCTCAGCAGAGCAACAGGCCACCTCATCAGCAGTGGCTGCACCAGGAAGCACTGGGAGAACACACAGGCCTTGCTGACCTAACTCTGGACACGTGAGGGGTCTCCTTCATAGACTCAGGTCAGTGCAACCACACGAGTGCTTAGAGAGAAGCCATGACAGCCTCTGCTGGACAAGCCCATTGCAAGAGAATCAGGTCTAAATCTGTTCCCAAAAGTTAATAGGAGACTTCACTGGGGAACAGGTGCAATAATCCTGCAAAACAAGGCCAACAGGCACTCATGCATTGCTGAGAAGCTCAGCAGAAGTTTTCTTCCCAGTTGCGTAGCAGTTTTATATATTTTTTTAAAACACATGAAAACTGAGTGATGAGCACTCAGAGGCTGATTTCAGTTCCTTGACATCCTGACCAAAGCTCACTCTGAGGACTGAAAACAACACCGACTGCCTTGCTGTGGCTTAGATCAGCTTGGCTTGTGCTAGGTGTGTCCAAGACTAACACACAGATACTCTGCACTGCCGGCAATACAAAAAAATAAGTAAAAAAAAAAAAAAAAAAAGCACAGCAAATAGCAGACCAGGTAATTTTTGGCTGCTGTTTAATTTTTTTTCCCCTCTGGCTACGGCCGCTTTCCCTCGGCACAGCGTTTCACAGCACCTTCCGCCGCTTACTGACGCGCCGAAGCGCCCGAGCCGCCCGCCCGCCCAACCACGAGCAGCGAAACCCG